CACATGTTGTCCACTGGGATGGAGCTCCTTCAGTGTTCTGATCACATGGCCCTGGCCTCAGGCCCGGCCTGTCGGTCTCCTCCACGGAAGCCAAGGTTTTGATTCTCTGTTAGAAAACCATCTGTGGGTCCTGGGCCTCCCAGACTCTCCAGCTGAGTCTGTCTCCATCTTCTGCCACAGAACCCTCTGAGCAGCGTCCCTTGGGGTTTATTGCTTGCATCCTTCCCTCATCCAGAATCTTAGGTCCTGCTGCTCTTGCAGCTTGCCTACTGGGTGGGAATGGGTCTAAGTGCTTCTCTGTGCACCCTGAACGCCCCCCCCCCCCCAATTTTTATTCTTCTCTTCCTGACACTAACTTCATCAATACTCCGAAATTCAGTTAATAATCTAAGCATCTATTTATGTTTCTTTTGGGCTCAGTCCCTGAACTCCAGTGTCATCTCTATTTATTATTATACAGTTAGTTTCCTCTGTCTTTGGCCTTTTGATTTTTCTCTTTTGTGAACTCCCTGCCATTGTTGTCTGTCTTATTTCATACATTCCTGGAGTGTGCAGGAAAATTTTTGTAAACAGATTGGTAAAATTGAATGTAAGTGGAGTACTCAAAAAAATAAAATAAAATCTCTAAGATCACTATCATGCAAGCAACACATTTATTATCATCGTCATTGTAGCAATGATTATTATGTGTTTACAGTTTGCCAAGCTCTGTCAAACGTTTTACCTGCTTTAACTCAATGGAGCCCAATAATAGCCGCATCTAACTGCACAGCTCAGCTTTCTCAACCACTTTATTACCTTCAGTTTGATCAATACGTGTGGGATTTATGGCCGTATCAGGGCCGATCTAGGTTTTGTGAACAATGAAGCTTAGAATTTGGGGGACCTTGTTTAAGAACAATGATTCAAAGTTACCAATACAAAATAAGGCATGGAAGTGGATATTTAGAATTTGGAAAGAAATCACAACAAATTACAAATTTTAAAAAGCTAACTCAAACTATAAACATCAGAAATATAGGAAAATAATACATTTAAATCAATCTCTAGACACAACTCAGTAATACTTTTTTCCTTACATTTTTGAGCTTTATACTGTGATCATTTCTTCATATGATCATGATTTTGTTTTATCATTCTGTGTCACAAGGATAGATCATTTAATCTTTCCCATAATATGATTAGTTGAAATTTGTATTTTATTAATCATAGTTTAGAAAAGTTTCTTCTAGCTTTGCATTAGGTAACATCATATAAATTTTTAGAACTGGAAAAATATCTATTAGGTTTGTTTCTTATATGAGCTATATGATTTGGGGGCATTCTCAGTTTGTACAATAACTTAACTTAAATGTCCCCAAGCAGCTCTAGGGCCATGCAAATTGGGATCTGTCTGTATTGCCATATATCCAGCCCCTCATTCCTCACTTCATGTCATGAGTCAAGACATTGGGTAGACTGACACAATGGGTGTGTTCCTACAAATCATCCTAATAAGACAAGATGCTGAACTTGACACATACATAGTACCTGGTGAGGGGTCTGTGCAAGTGAGGGGCAGTAAGTTTATTACCCTCACAATTAGTATGTCTCTTGGTTCTGGGCTGGATGCTCCAGGGACTCAGAGATAATGAGACCCGGCTCTGTCCCAAGGCACTAATAATTGGGGAGATAAGCTGATCCTGGAACATTTCAATCCAAGCAGAATGAACCGCACCCCAGGACTGCTAATGCCCAGGAATGCAGTAGTCAGAGAAGGGAAAGACTCCCTCTTAATGGGTTAAGGGACTTAGTGCCCAGTTTTATGGCCAAGTACTACTACATGCCCTGGGCTAGAACAACCCTGTTTTAATGTGTTTTTTTTTTTGGCATACTTGTTTTTGAGATTTGTTTTTTTAGAGGAAGGATTCTACTGCTAAAATAAACAATTTGTAGACCACTGTCTGACGGGCTGTAGGACTGTGACAGGTGCAGAGGTGTGAGCGGCAGGCTCATGTCAGAAGTGGTGAACTGCATTGCTTATGTCATGGACGCCTGGGCTAGAGATGTGTGACGGGAACCTGCCCTCCAGCCTAGCCAAGGAGATCTGTGTTGTCAGGGCATTCAAACCTTTGCCCAGCTGAAGAATTACTGTTCTTCTCTCCACACTCAGAGTATCCCTTCCTCGGTGAAGTGAAGAAACCTCATAGCCCATGGACAGCCATTGGCTCCACCTCCTTCCTTGACTCTGTAGGTAACTGGTGCCAGCACCTCTCACTGTATTGAATTAAGTGTTTGTGAGCCTGCCTGGCCAGGGTGTCTTCAGCTCAGTTTCATGGCTGTTCTCCAGAGAGTGACAACCCTCCCCCCAAAACTGTATTTAAAATTTGGAAACTAATGTGTATATACATTTTCGGGGAGGGTGTGGGCCCAGGTTTTTAAAAGAGACTATAACCCCAAGGAGGTTAAGAAGCTCAGCACTGGGCTTGTTCCCCCTCTGAATTGACAAATTCCAGCATAGTTCCTGGACATCATTATATACCTGAGCTTCTGCAGAATCCCCTAGAGAGCTTCCTTTAAGCACTGATATCTGGTCCCCACTCCTGGAGTTTCTGTCCTAGTTTACTTTTCTGTCAATGTACAAGGCAATGTTGATGCTGCTGTCCCTGGACCCAGTTTGAGAACCAGTGTTGTAGTCTGCTGTACATGGAAAGTACTACGTCCTCTCCCCTTCTGATTTCATAATAACATGAAAAATGAATGTCCATAGATTAGGACTTTTAACCTCCCGAACTGGGTAGAAATCTGAAGGCGTTGTGTATGTATCGATAGATCGAGTGACATGCTTCACACACTGTGAAGGCGGCATAACCACGCACTGCAGCAGTTCTGAATGCCATAGACTCCGGATAGGTGAGCCCCATCATGCTTAGGACAACACAGCGCCCTTGAATATTTAAAATTCAAACTGGTGAATTCTCCTGGTTACAATACATGGTGTTTCCGATGGTCTAGGAGCAGCTCCATCCATGACCGTTGGCCAATTTGGGTAATTCTGGGCACACAATCTTGCTTTTGATTAAAAACCAACAACTTAGCTCTTATAGCTCTGTCACCTGGAGAAAGATTGAACTGAAGCACGTTCAGATGACTTTAAAAACAAGGCCATGAGCTAGATCTGTGCCAAACCTCTTTCTTCTAAACCAGGAGAGGGGAACCAGCCTAATTTCATTTTACTGTGAAGGTGATGTTCTTTTCACCAGTGGTGCTTTAGGGCAGTCAGTCAGTTCCCTGCCCTTGTGGGCTGTCCTCCAGCTCATGTGACCACTTGGAAAAGCTCAATGAAAACAGTGAACAGCTCTAACCATTAAACAATCAGTATAAAGAAGGGTAGAAAATAGGCGTTTATACTCTTTTTAAAAAATATATATTTTATTGATTTTTTACAGAGAGGAAGGGAGAGGGATAGACAGTTAGAAACATCAATGGGAGAGAAACATTGATCAGCTGCCTCCTGTACACCTCCTACTGGGGATGTGCCCGCAACCAAGGTACATGCCTTGACTGGAATCAAACCCAGGACCCTTCAGTCCACAGGCCGATGCCCTATCCACTGAGCCAAACTGGATAGGGCGGCTTTTATACTCTTAACCAACAATTTAGTGGGTAGATGATGTCACTGCCCATGGACCCACCTCAAGTCTCCCATTCCCCTCTCTTCTGTTAGTTCTTTTTATATCTTCTTTTTCTCTTCATCTTCCTCCATTGTTTCCTCCATCCTGCATCTTCTTCCTCCCTTATCTGCAGGTGTCTGTCTCTTTTGCCTCTTTTTCCCCTTATCTCCTTCCCTCACCAATCTCCATTTTCAGCCTTTCTCCTTGGATAACTTTATTTTCTCCTCCTCTGAGCCACGTGTTGAATGGGGGCATTGTGCCAATTATTTGTGTTTGAAGTGAGAGCTTTTTACCATGTTTTTAACTTAAGTAGCAGGTGAGTCATTCAGGGTTGACCCCTTTTCCTTGGAGTCAGTGGTTTGTCCTGGAAAGTGCTCCCTGCTACTGTTAGAGACCTCTGCCCCGCCAGGTCTCTAAGGAGTCATTTCATGAAGTGACCTAAGGGTTTGTACACGTTTCACATCTTTGTAATCCTTGAGACTAAAGAAGACAGAAATGACATTCTTTCATGAGGTCTCTCCGTTGTTCAAATCAATCCTGTAGGCTTTCCTGATTAACATGCATCATTCATCTCTCACAGAAATGTTGCTAATAAACTCTCCACAATTTACTCTGGTTGAGTAGCGGTGATCCTAGATCATAACAGTTTGCCTAGAGAAGAAAGAGTTCCAGTGGATGAAAGACTGCCTTCTAACCGGCTGGTTACTTGTGGGAGAAGGCGTGGGTGGGGAGTTATCCTTAGTTTCCAGCCTCAGTAAAACAGAGCAATGGTTTCATGCCTATCTTTATGTATTGGGGGTGTTAGAAGATAAAAAGAGGCATATTAAAATTTTTAAGAGTTTATTTGAAGAAAACTCAATTCAAATCAGGCAGCACCAAACGAAATGGTTAGGAGAATTCAGCTGACAGAAGCGGAGGAGAGACTTAAATAAAGGGTGGGAACAAAGAAAATAAATTATTTGATTGATGTAGCCTAAAGCCTCATTGGCTGTTTGTGATTAGTTGTCTTCAGTGGTTTGGTCTTGTAACCATGAGGCGTTTACAGGCTTAGATTTTGGTTTGCTTACATAGGCCTTAGAGCACCTTAGTCTAAGGGTCTTCCTGATTAATTAGTTTAACAGTGGATTGGGTGTGATCACCTGTGTGAAAACATGCACGTTATTGAACGTTACACACTGGCGCACAAAAGTAATACCTGCATTATATTCTGTTTTTAAATACTTATAAGATATCGTCAGGCAAAAACTAATTCATCTAATTAACAAAAATGTTATTTTGATATGCTGAATAGGCTGCTGACCTTAAACAGACAGTCATTGTTTCAAGTGCTTATCTTTCGCCTTCCAGGCCAAGCCAAAGCTGATTGAGCCCCTTGACTATGAAAATGTCATCGTCCAGAAGAAGACACAGATCCTGAATGATTGTCTAAGGGAGATGCTGCTCTTCCCTTATGATGACTTTCAGGTACGTGACTTTTCAGTTTCTGCAAATAGAATCATGCAGTTTATCTTTACAATTACCATCTATCTATTGCTTTATTGTTTGTTTAATTTAGGATTTTTAAAAGATGAAAAGATGCTGTTATTTAAGAGGGAAAAATTATGACATTATATTCTTCAGGCATTCTTTCATGAGTTGATTTTTTTAATGGCATTATTTTTGCATATATATGCAGATGTGAATTTATATGTTATTTATGTCTGTGTATGTATGAATACAAACATGCATGTATACAACATAGATGTCGTGTGCATGTGTGTGTGTGAGATCTTGAATACAAGTACTATTCTGTGGGCTGCTTTAATGGACACAAGTGCCTCCTGTGTCTTGTGAGATTTATTTGAAGATGGATTTAGGTTTTTTTCCTAGTACCTTAGAGTCTTAAGGTTGAGATTTGCTGGGGAGATGTAGAGGATTTTGTCTTGTACCCTTTTAGGAAACTGCTATGAGAGAGGCTTTGAACTGTATGTGAGCTCACAAAGAAGGGTTTAGAGGTAACAGGTGTGTCCTGACGCTTACCTCTCTGGTGCAGTGGCAGGTGCTGTTCTTTGGAGCTTAGTAGCTGCTAGCAGAGGACTCAGCACAGCTCCTGCTCTGAGCGGTCCTGTAGATTATTGCCAGAAGCCTTTCAGATTATGGCCTGTGGCTGAGTGACTCACAGGAACTTTGAGGGCAGTGAGGAGCTAGAACATTCTTCCTCCAGGAAACCCATACTGTGGTGTTAGATACCTCGCAACCTAGAGTTACCTCAGTCTGTTTGGAGGTCTGGTTACTTCTCTCGCTCTCCTGGAACCTAGGAACCTAATCTCCTCCTCTACCTCGAGGCTTCTCTATCTGTTTTTATGACTGAGCCATGTCTTGTGTGAATTGAGCTGCCTTTTGTTTTTGTTTTTGTTTTTGTTTTTTTGTTTTTTGTTGTTGTTGTTAACAACTTCATTGATTCCTTGTTTAATTTTAAAAGTATTACTTGTAAACAAACAAAGAGGCACTATTGGAATACTTGACATTAAAATCCCCCCCCCACCACCACCTTCTTTCTAATCCCACTCTCAGAAAATAACCTATTATATACAATTCTGTGCATACGGAATTGTCTTTAGAAACTTCCATGTTAATGATAACTGTTGAATTATATTCCGTAACGTTTTTTTCCCCCCACCAAATTTAAGAGACTTCAGTTTATACAACAAGGCTGGGGATTTTCACAGATGTTCACTTTTTCTAACTTTTTAGAAGCGCATATGGAGAAAATTATTGTCCTTTAGATCTTCCCTGGAAAGTAAGGATTGCCATGGAAATGGAATTGACCATTAAGCACGTAATGGGACGCTGCTGCCAAAATGTGTCCCACTGATGAACGGTTTCAAATCATGCCTCAAAAGCCGAGGTTTTGAAAATGTCATTGCATAGACTGCCCAGCTACAGGACAAATGAAAGGAAACCTCAGAACCAAGCCTCCTGCCTGTGATTTTGGCAACCAATTAACATGAGAAGTTAATCAGTTGATTACAAATTGCAATCCATGTTGACATATTTTTCCTGAAGTGTGCTCAGAGGAAGCTAAAGGTTATCTCAAGTTTTTCTGAGCATGAAGTATGTATTATTCTTGGTATTAATTAGAGTAACAACATTATTTCAAGTTTTGCAGCCTACAATGAAAAGTTGTATTTGCAGCCTTGAGATGAAGTTGCTTCAAAAGCAAACAAACCAAACAAGACATGGTTAATTTAATTTCATCTTTTAATCCCAGAGACAAGGAACCTAAATGTTTAAGCAGTTGTAGAATCAAGTAATAAAACTTTGAGAAAAACGTCTTGGTCTTTTTCATTTGTATTTACTTCTCTCGGGATACCAGGCACAAAGAACATTTTGCTGGCCAAGACTGAACAAGCAAGTGTTATTTTCTGTTTGGGGGAAGTTTACCCAAAGGTTAAGGAGCTTGAATTTTAGCTTAGATCCTCACCACAGTAATTGTGGTGGTCTCCATTTAAATTTGGATGGTGATATTTGTGTTCTTGGAAACTCCTATTTTCCAATCAAGTAAGGCCATTTGCACTGTGCCTTCTTGCCAGTTTGTCTTGGTGATTTCAGTAACTGTGTAGTTAGCTGAATAACCAAAATGTCTTAGCAATGTCACAGATTCCTTATGTCTGTCCATGTTTTTATTTCCTTAGGTGTATTATTAGAGACAGGGAACAGATTAGATCAGGTGAATGCCTTTTATTTCATATGGAAAAAGATAGCACGTTGGGTAACAAATGGGCCATAATAGTGAGCAAAGTACATGCTGAGGGTTGATTTGCAATACTACACTTCCTGGTTAAAGAATGTTCGGTAACTATTAATAGAACATTATGTGAAGTTCTTTCAAATATATTCAGGACAATAATTTACTAAAATTGCCAAAACTGGTTTGGCTCAGTGGATAGAGTATCAGCCTGCTGACTGAAAGGTCCCAGGTTGGATTCTGGTCAAGGGCATGTACCTTGGTTGTGGGCATATCCCCAGTGGGGGGTGTGCAGGAGGCAGCTGATCGATGTTTCTCTCTCATTGATCTTTCTAACTCTCTATCCCTCTTCATTTCTCTCTGTAAAAACAATCAATAAAATATATTTTAAAAAATAATTTACTAAAATATAAATGTGGCTAGTGATGATACATTTGAACCATTCTTGAGGACAATGTTGGTATTGGTCAACTCCTAAGGACATCTAAGTGCTATCTTAAAATGAGTCTTAGGGAGAGATTTGTTTGTGGGATGTATTAATACTTTTGCCTAAGGGTCAGGGAAAAATAAAACCTAAGAGACATGAAGTAAATGTGGATTTTAAAAAACAAAAGGACAAGTCTCAGCCATCAGAATATTTATGAAGTAAGGTTTTATCTGCCATGGCCAGAGACAGGAATGCCATGGCTAACATGGCCCTTACTAACCTGCTACACTTCTTTTTTTTTTTTTTTTTTTTCAGAATCATTCCCTGGTATTTTGGGGTCTATTCTGTTCTTTCTCTGAGGTGCTTTTTGCCAACAAAATCTTCACTTCTTTTCCTTCTAGAACAGGGGTGGGGAACATCTGGCCCTTGGGTTGTGTAAGACCTGATAAATCATTTGGTCCGTCCCTACCAAGGCATTAGGGGTGAGTTAATTGAAGGTTTGACCAAATATAGCAGGCTGATTTTTAAATTGATAATTTTGCGTGGCCCATGAATGTTGTAAATAGTCAAGTGGCCTTTGGCAAAAAAAGGTTCCCCATCCCTGTTGTAAAACCATCTCACGCTCTGAGGCCACTTCAGTTCTCCCCCTCCCCCCACTCTCTTATTTCCTCTAATGCTTACTGTCTTACACTGTGTATATTGATACCTAAGTACACTGGGCTTTTCACCATTGGCTTCTTACACATTTTGTGTCCAAGTGTCTCCACTATGCTGTGGCCCCGGGGAAGGCTCAGGCCCCGTGTTGGTGCCTCTCTAGGCCCATCCATCTCCGCATCCACATCATCTCTGCACACGGGGCTCCAGAGTTGGGTACTTTTAGCTTCACTTCAAATGAGTACAATTACTGTGAATATCGGGTAGTTTTCTTTGATTCAGGAAGTAAATATGAGTATCAGTGAGCACATGTGGAAATGCCAATATCTAGATTCGTAAAACTTTTTGCCTGATCACTGATTTGGATTGGTGGAAGTTGGATAATTTCTGAAATAAAAGAATGGAGGTGAAACAGTCTTAAAAGGCATATATCTTCTGATAGTTAACAAACCTTTATTCTGAGAACTTACTTTTCCATGGGTACATGGTAGGTAAATTTTACTGGGCAGGTGAGATAGAGATGATAACCTTTTTGATTAAAATGTTTTAGATCAAGAAATATAAGTTGATTTGTTGCTTACAAAATGACAACTTTATATATAATTGAAAGTAATGCCCAGGACTCCTCCCTTTCCGATCAGAAACATAGAATTCAGTGTGGGTCTGCCCATCCATTTCCAATCATCACTCACATTCAAGGGAAGTCCTTTGCCAGATGCTGCTGCTGCTACTGCTGTGACAATCTTAACTGTTGCCATCCATTCACTGAATCTACAGCTGGCCTTTTGAGCTCTTACATCCTGGGTTGTTGCATAGCTTACTAATGTTTGGGTAGTTATTAAAGTGTTGAAATATGAAGAAGATAGTAAATAGTAAAAAAGTATGTTGGGAGCAATGTATGGATATCATTTATATTTTATAAATACTAGAGGCTTGGTGCATGAAATTCATGCACTTGGGGAGGGGGGAGTCCCCTCAGCTCCGACTGTACCCTCTCACAGTCTGTGAGCCATCAGTCGGACATCCTTAGCTCTGCCACGGAGGCGGGAGAGGCTCCTACCATGCTGTTGTGCTAGCCAGCCATGAGCCTGGCTTCTGGCTGACTGGTGCTCCCCCTGTGGGAGCACATTGACCACCAGGGGACAGCTCCTGCATTGAGTATCTGCCCTCTGGTGGTCAGTGCGTGTCATAGTGACCCATCATCCTACTGTTCGGTCAATTTGCATATTAGCCTTTTATTACATAGGATTAGACTTTGGTATATGATATGAACTAACAAGGGATACAGCTTGTATGTGAAGAATAAAAGACCATCTAAATCACTTCTGAGGATATATCCAAAAGAATTGAAAGTAGGGACTTAAAGAGATATTTATACACCTAGGTTCATAGCAGCATTATTTACAATAGCCAAAAGGTGGAAACAACCCAAATATTCATTGATGCATGAGTGGATAACCAAATGTGGTCAATGCATATGGTATAGCCTTAAAAAGGAAGGAAATTCTGATACATACCACAACATGGATAAGCCTTGAGGACATTATGTGAAGTAAGACAGTCAAAAAAGGACAAGTATTGAATAATTCCACTTATACGAGGTTCTGAGAATAGTCAGATTAATGGAGATAGAAAGTGGAATGGCAATTGCCAGGG